TTCTACTGCTAGATTCTCTTGAAAGTAGTTGGGGATTTTAAATTTTCTCTTGTACTATAAATAGAACTGTTATAAAATTGAAGCAATGAAGAATGAAATAAACCAAATAAATAACACATATGTTATGTGGAAAACCCAAGACGAAAATAACTACAAACAAAGGAGGAAAAATCACTATATAGAAGAAAAAAATTTCAAGTGGAGAGTGTCAACTCACATAAAACCGAAAAAAAAAAATTGTCCTTGCACAAAGAGATAATGTATTTATAGACTTTTACAAAACTCCTGAAGAGGAAAATACTCAAGAGGGGGCCAACAAAGCAAAATCACACATATTGCAATTTAAAGACTATTAAAAGATCAATCCAATAGTAGAAACATTCAATCCGTGTACCCTTAATTTTCTAGTATGGCGAGCAGGACCCATAGAATTCATGTCCAAGAGTAGATGTCAGATTTTTATAAATCTGATTTTGAAATTTCTTTTTTTAATGTTTCTTCATTATCCGTCTATCTTTTATCAATACATCTATTTTTCATTGATTGTAGTACGGGGTAAAACAAGTGGCAACACTCTTCTACCCCTTAATTTCTGCTAGGAAGCACAAGTCTAGTAGACTACAAAATGTTGTCAAGCAATTGGACTCTCTAAGGATGGTTAAAATTGACTTAAAAGTTTCCCAAAATAGTGACATCACGCATCGATAGCAAGTTGACATTAATTAGAGAGGAATTCCAACAGAGAGTAGAAAAAAAAATCACCATCAGCTTGCCCATAATACTTTGCCATACTTGGGTCCAAAATTCAGAATGATTTAAGCAACGCTTGATTAATTGATTCCTTGGGTTTTGGACTACAAAAGTTCTAATTAAAATTGAATCTACATTTGAATGTGAACAAGAACTCCTTAAAAACATTAAATTAAGTATTGAATGTGAGAGTAAGCAAATTATGCATATTAAATTTAATAAAGCAGTTAAAGAATCAGATGATTTGAACTCCAAATGAAGATTTAAAATGTTTATAATTTTATTTTCGGTACTTGGATTATTGAATCACAATCTCATAAAATGACCTTATGGAGAAAATTAATTTACATGAGCATTTCATAGAACTTGGAAACAAGTTAAATAAAAAATGCATTAAATTCAATGTTCCATCTATTTAGTTCAAGAACGAAGCGAATAGTTCCTCAAAACTTATCTTTCAACCACTCAAGTTAATTTTTTTTAAAGAGAATGTATGTCCAAATAAGCATATCATATTTATGTTGTTTCTCTGCTTGCCTATCATCTCGCTCTCTAAAAATATTCATCAATCTTCTTTAGTAGTATGTTAGTATTTTCATGATTTTCCTCGTATCAAATTGATCATTTTTACCTCTTCTGCATGACATGCAATAAAATATTCATAGAAAATTAGTTTAAAAAATAATAAATTCAAACTAGGTGATAAGGTAATCATATGTTTGAATTCTAAAAAGTTTCTTATTTGGCTTTTATGAAATTAATTGCAAAAAAGGTAGGGGCATATAAAACTCATATAGTACATTAAGAATAATCAGTATCTTGAATTATAAATGATAGAAGGTTTTAGTATGAGTCTACTTTTCAATGCATGTCATTTGACTTTACCTGAAGAGCAAGCTATCAGTATCTTGAATTCTATTTTATTTCCATCACTTCCGTATAAATTCACATTTAATACTTTATATTTTAGAGTTTATTTTCTTCAAGACAAGTATATTTGATATAAATTTGAAGGTTTGTACACAATAGAAATAAAGGATGTGAACATTAAGGCGGTGCATTAAAATTTTAAGTTTTGGTTTTAATTTAGTTAATTTATTTCTTATTTTCTCTTTTCTATTTTCTATTTTCTAGTTCAATGCAAACAAACCATAATGTTGGTGATTAAGATTCTGTGATGCTTTCTCTAACTTTTTTTATTTCCTTGGAAGTGATTTACCACTTAAATTGCAAGTTGGTTCAATTCAGTGCTCATCAAATTCTCTAGTTATACTATTTAAATCTTCTATTCCACAGATATCAATTCTCTATTTTTTTCCAAGCATGTTCCCTACTAGCATTATTTATAGGATTTTCAGTTTTCAATTGAGATATTGAAGTTCTCTGCAACCTTTTTAGCCGGCACATCAAATGTCGACCATCTGATGATCCGGTTAGGATAGTAGATATTTTATATTCAACTTATATTAAAAAAAGGTGGAGGTAAACCTACAAAGACTTGAGCATGTTGTATGAAAAAAAAATCTTAATTTATTAGAACAAAATGAAAATATGACACTCAATAGAATAAAATGGAGAAAAAAGATTCATGTAAGCTATCCCACTCATTTATTAGAACAAAATGAAAATATGACACTCAATAGGATAAAATGAAGAAAAAAGATTCATGTAAGCGATCCCACTCAGTGGGATAAAAACTTGTTGCTGTTGTTATGCTATTGTTGTTGTTGTTGTTGTTGTTGTTGTTGTTATGCTAAGTGCAATGACTTGCATCTTTTGCTACTGTATGTTTCCTTTTATATCTTGGGGCTAAATGGCCTTGCTTTTTTAGCTGGCAATCGAAAACAATATTGTTTCCTTCTGTATATTATTTCCTGTTAGTGCTGGGTGTTTTTCATGCCTTGTTAGCCTGCTAGTTTCCTTCTTTATGTGATTTCCTATAGATAATCCCTAATTCTCAATTGTTCATTATAATTGATTATAGAATATTCTTCTCATCTATTCATTACTTCTACATTATAATTGGAGATCGGAAATTGTTGATGTTTGTGATGAATAAAAATGGTATTTATAATTTAACTAGTATTTTGGATTTCTAAAAAGCACCATTTGTGATATTATTTTAATTACAACAAGGACTACTGGCACGTAAATTAAGTCTGTACTTAATAAACTTTCAGATTCCTCAGATTTTGTGTATATTGTTAGATGTGAATTCTTCAAGCAACTTGTAGGTCATGTTGATAACTTTCAGGAGAAGGTTTTACTTATACTAGTGGGAGGCCTAGAGCTTCTATTTAGTAACTTATAACCATGTTTTTCATCAACATACTTTGTGCTTGAAATTTGTTCAAGTTTGCAACAATCTAATTTACCTATTTGTTGTCTGAATCATCTAATCATTGAATAATTTTATTTCAATCTCAGGTTTCTTAGTTAATTTCATAATACATGTTCCTTAAATTATTATTTAACGAGAGTTTCATGTGTTTCTAATTTGCATACAAGAAAGATGAAATGATTGTCTAAATAAGAGTCTTAGAAAACCTAATGTTCATGTGTTTATTTTGTGTGCCACATCCTAAATTTACATTAACAAAAACTATAGACCCTAAGATCTCTAACATTTGCGGCAAAAGTAGAATTACATAAACCTTGGTATTCTATTTGTGTGGATGAACTCTTTTGTGTTGTGTAATGGTTCATCATATTTAAACTTAGTTAGCACTTCCATATAAAAATTAAGCATTTTTTCCTACAAATTGCTTGAGCAATCTTCCTTGATCTAAACAATCTAGAAAATTAAGCTACATATTTGAGAACCCAATTGATTTAATTGATTGGGCTATACTTCAGGACTCTAGGCAACCCAATGGCATAATCAATACTGTGAGCATGGCAAAACCCTGATTAACCCATTTGCCTACAATCCATCAACAAGGGTTTATAAAAGGATGAATTATACAGACCCATCGAAACAGCTAAGGATCTTAAAACTATAAAATGACTATGAAAAGCAAATGCTTTATCACAAAACCTAATCAAACTAAGCCCATTAAACTCAACTCCCTACGCATAGTCTAGTTATGGGGGGCATGCCATTTGCTAATGACTAAGTGTTAAAAAAGAGATTGCTCTAAAACGCAATGCATCATTTAAAACAAACTTAGAGCCAACCCTTTAGCAAGGGCATGCCCTCCACCACTAATATCCATTGGATTTTCAAAGCTTCGCCTTTAAGATCTCCATTGAGGAATGTAGTGGAGTCAAAGCTCAATCTACCTTGAATGGCATGCCATTATCAGTTAGCTTTTAAAAGTGAGAGCAAGCTTGACACATAAATCAAGCCCTTAGAATAAACTTCATTCCCTACAAACTACTCGATCCATATTGAAAAATCTCGGATGTACCGTGTAATATGGACTAGGATTCTAGGAATAATCCTTGGATGATGAAACCACTAGGTCTATATGGGGTTCACTACCAGCTCACCCTTCCATCCTCCTCTCAATCCTCCATTTCTTAAGCATAAATCAACTTACCAGATAAGTCTTATGGGATGTACTTTGCCACATAACTTCAATTATGAAGAGTTTTCCCTCAAATCAAGTGGGTACTTAACTATTGGGGCTCACGCCTATCTATAACCCTGAACTCATTAGCATATAACATTGACAATAAGGTGAAATCGTGCTGGTGCTTTTATCAATGATTTGGCTACGTTTAACTCCTAAACCTTTAGAGTCAGAAAGGAGCGTTTGAAAGTCTAAAAAAATTTTCTTTCATTATGAATTACATAAATTTTGATGATTCTTTCTATCTTAGTTGAGTACCTATCAAATCACACATGACTAACATAAGCCCTTACACCCCAACTCATTCATGATGAATCTAGTATATACGGGCCTTTGCTTTAATTACACTACAAACATTTTCTCTTCATCACTTGAATGAAAGAAAGATATAGAAAACTCTCCAGCCTCTCTTTCACTCTAACAAAAAATAAAGAACACACACATAACAAAAGCTACAGAATTATTAGAATACTGTATTTTATCTAAAGCCGCATCATGATTATATGAAGCTTTTGAACAATCATTTAGCAATTAGAACCTTTCAACAAGATAAATACACAAGAAAGCATAGCAGTAAAATTTTATGAGGGCACATTCCCACAAAAATTTAGTTTGGGAAAAGATGAGTAATAATTAACTTTTAACTTCAGACTTGGTGCATAAAATCAGCAAGACCTCTCTTTGTGGCTGTTCTGAATTGATGATGTTCAAGAGAAATCCAGCCAAAGAAATCGCAATTACTGCACCAAACAATCCAACCATTGCCCAGAGAAGCCAACCGTTCTGAAGATCAAATGGTTCCTCCAGATCTGGAATATGCATATGCTATAGATGTCACTCTACTTTTCATCCTCTTAAAAAATAAGTATATTTGATTCATTTAAAATAAAAAATTATCAACCAGCACACTAATAATTAAACAAGCAAGGGTATAAAAGTAAGTATTTTTTATTATACACTAAAGCGGTGCTCAAAGATAGCGAATACTCACCGTAGCGGAAGATATCACTTGGAAAAGGACGAAAGGTGTTAGTTATGCCATATAGAACCCCTAGAACACTAGCTGTCACAGCACTGCACAATAAAGAGAAATATCAAAAATATATTTGATTCTTTTCAATTGATCAATCACTAAGAAATTATTAGGACCTACATTTGTCCTGCAAAAAGTATCTCTGCCTTCTGATCTAAACTTACTTCTCCACCTTGAAAACCAAGATATGGTAATGCGATTGCTTCAACCAAACCTGTCAAAGTAAAGCTGTCTGCAGTAGCTTCAATTTCATTTGATCATTCAAATATCAATTCTCAGCAAAATTAGTAAATAGTGTAACCTTAAGTTTAATGGAAGTGAAGGTGAAAAAAAGGAGAAACTAAAACTTTTCAATTTCTTTTTGCATCCATAAGGAGATTTAGAGAGTTCAGAAAGTTACCTTGCCCCACAAGCAATCATGGTGAATAACACAGTTTGCCACTCCCAAGGCACATCCCACCGTAAAAGTATGGGCCAATTTTCTCCAAATTTCTGCACAATTTGCAAGATTCTTGTTCAAATTCAAGTTAAAAATAAGGAAGATTTGCATACATACCATTCAATTCTTATGTATTTACATATCTAACACCTAAACTTTACTCTTTATATACATGTCACCTTACCAATGCATGAAAAAATGTGTTGAACTTTTTAAAAGTTAAAAAGGTAGCAGTTTTTATCTGATATGAAAGATTTGGGTGGTAAACTTTAAAACAGTAAACTTCAGGTGTTAGATATGTAAATACATAGGAATTGAGTGATATGTATGTAAATGCCCCTAAAAATAATCAAGCTTCTAGCATAAGAAAAAAATCACTGCCAGCAAAAATTGTTCTATATTCACAAAGGTTGCATTGTTCTAAATTGATTTTGACAGTTAACGGCTTGAACCAAATGATGGATATGAAGCCGTTCTCCAGGTTGCATTGTTCTTCTTCCACTAAGCAACATCTAAAATCTACAGAAGTTTCTCACTTCTATCTTTGCAAGTATAATACCATGCAAATCAAGTGATTTGAAACGGGTAGGTTCTACATTTTGTCACAACAATATGAATGATAACATAGAGGTTGAAAGCCTGACAGTTATGATAATACCGCATTATATTGTAAGTGTGGTCATTGTTATGAACCAGTCTATGGCTTTCACTACTTTCCCACTCAAAACTACATTGTGCTCTATATAATTCAACCATACCAATCATAACAGCAATCTAAACTGATCATGTAGGCCTTCATACAGGCTCCAGATCACAACGTGAATGAATGCATCAATGATGAATAAAAATGAGGGATAACAGGTGAAGCATCGTCAAAATTGAGGTCAAAATCCCCCAATCACGCCTAAAGTCACTTGAAACAATTCATTAGTAAAATAGACTTTGCCAAAATGTTTGGAGATCACAATTTGCCCAATAGAGGCCAATTGATGTGCACGACAGATAATAAATGTGGCTGTGCATGAATCTGTCCCAATTATTTTGAACATCGTTGAAATTGCCTAAGCGACGTCAATTCATAAAAATTACTGTGCAAGAACATCTAAAGCATTGAAATATCTTAAGAAATGAACTATGATTGACATGATCAAGGAAGATGAAGGCGAAATACTGCCGATACATCATGCACAATTTAAACTCAAATCCCCTTGACGACCATCGAAATTGCTTAGACAAGCTCCGTGAGCAAAACTAACTATGCAAAAGCATCCAGGACATTGAAATTACTTACAAATGAAATCCATATTGTCGAGATTTGCACGCGAGATATCGACTTGCACTTCAAGGCTGGCAAGCACTCAAATTGAGGTAACACGTAAATCTAGATGCGCAATAAATGTAGAAGTATGAGCAAGAACTTATACACAAACCCTTATAATTATAAATATTATTATTATAAAATAAAAATAATAGATTAAATACCATCCTATCATATCCCAGACAAATCCGCCCTAACCTGCTCTAAATCTTGAATGCCCATGTCATTCAGCTCCCCACGCATGCTGTCAAGATGTGACTGAGATAGAAATAAAGTTGTGAGAATTAATTCTAATTTTCTTAAAAATTAAAATTAATTGGTAAATCCCTTAAATTAAGGGAATTAGAATAAATTTGTAATCCCTAAAATTAAGGGAATTAGTTAAATAGTTTCCTAATTTTTCTCCTTTTAATCTCCTATATAATACCTTGTATGATCAATTCAAATGGGAACTGAAATACAAATTATTTCTTTGATTTCCCACATGGTATCAGAGCTCAGGCTCAAACCCTAGAGGACATCGCCTGTGTCGGTTCTCTGCGACGCGCTGTCATCGATCTAGAGAGATCTTCTGTCTCTTCCTATTAGCGGCCTCTTCAGCGCGCTTCTCCGACAATCGTAGATCCAGTAGCGTTCTTCCCTTTCACGAGCCTCGATCCAGTAGCGTTCTTCCCTTTCCGCGTGCTTCTCCGACTTCTCCTTCTTCTCCGCCTCTGTTGCGCCCTTCCGAGCACAGGCTACTTCACGCCTTAGTGTTCGTTTCCATCTTCTTCGGCATCTCGGTTCTCTGCGATCTGCGCTCCATCCTATCCGCTTCGTCCGAGAGGAGCAGCACGTTGTCACGAGAAAGATCGTCCTTTGCCGCTGAAGTACTTTGCGCTGTTTGCCGTTGTGTGGTCACTGCAGAGCTTGCGATCTTTTTCTGTTGTTTGCCACTGCAATCCTGTGCCGCAGATCTCGCGATCTTTGTCGCTGTTTGGTTTTTTTTTTATTCGTTGCCTTAATTGTTGCGATTCTTTTACCACTGCAGGTTGATTCTAGTCTTAATTGCTGCAAATTTTTTTTCTCCACCATATCAATGTCCGAAACCACTATCTCCAACTACTTCAACCATTCTGAAGAATACAATGTTGTTCAGAAAATTGGAGAGTTGCAGAATATTAGGGCATCCAACATGTTCAATGGGAAGAACTATCTCAAATGGTCTCAAATTGTCCGCACATACTTAAAAGGCAACATCCTTAAAAGGCAAAGGGAGGATTAATCCCCTACTTGGAACCGGACCAAAAAAAAGGGATCCAGCCTCTTCAACATGGGAAGAGGAAAGAGGAGAATTCCATGATTATGTCCTGGCTATGGGATTCCATTGACCCAACGATCAGTGACACTTGCATGTTCTTGAACACCGCAAAGGAAATCTGAGACTATATCAACCGCACGTACTCAGTGTATGAAATCAAGGAAAAAATCGGAGCAACCAAACAAGGAGACAAATCTGTCATAGAGTATGCAACTCTATTGCAGAATCTGTGGCAGGAACTGAATCACTATCGTGTAATTGAGATGAAATACCCTGATGATGCTGCCACCTTGAAGAAGTTCATTGAGAAGGATCAGATATATGATTTTTTGGCAGGATTGAATCCTGAATTTGATCATGTTAGAATCCAAATCCTCGGCAAGGAGGATACACCGTCTCTAGAAGAGACAATCTCATTAATTCGAGCAGAAGAAAGTCTGAGGAGTGTCATGCTAGAACCACATACTATGGATGGGTCAGCCTTAGCAGCAAACACAAATTAGGAGAAGTCAAAGAACGATAACCAATGGAAGGAGAACAAAGACAATCTTTAGTGTACTTGTTGCAAGAAATCGAGGCTTACAAGGGAGAAGTGTTGGAAGTTAAATAGTAAACCTCCAAGCCGAGAATGGGGCAACCGTGGGAAGAAACAAAGGTCTCGAGCGCATATGGCAGAGCAACCCAATGTGAAGGAAAAATCAACAATAGGGGGATTTAGCAATGAAGAAATTGAGAAATTAAGAAACTTATTGGGATCTCTTGAGAAGTCTTCTGGAGCATGTTCAATAGCTCTTTCAGGTAAAACTGTTTGCATGAATGTCTTAGACAAATTATATATCAACTCTTGGATCATTGACTCCGGTGCTACTGACCATATGACCCCCACATCTCAACTCTTCCATTCCTATACCCCCTGTCCAAGTAATAAAAAAATTATCATGGTTAATGGCTCTTTAGCTACCATTGCAGGGATTGGTGATATACATATCACACCTAGCCTTATCCTGAAAAACAATCTCCATGTACTCAAACTGTCAACAAGCCTTGTGTCCATTCAAAAATTAATTCATGATCTCAAATGTTATGCTGTTTTTTTCCTTCTTATTGTGTTTTTCAGGAACAGAACTCGGGGACGAGGATTGGACTTGCTAAGGAAAGGAGCTGTTTTTACCACCTTGAACCATCCCAGAAAATCAGGAGCAATTTGTCCTCATCTTTCCTTAATTCCTCAAACAAAGATGTCATTTTGTTGTATTACTTACGCCTTGGTCATCCTCTTTTAGAGTTCTAAATATAATGTTTCCTAATTTATTCCAAGGATTAAATATTTCTGAGTTTCATTGTGACATTTGTGAATTGGCAAAACATGCCCGTGTATTTTTTCCTATTAGCAATAAAAGAAATTCTCATTCTTTTCATCTGATTCATAGTGACATATGGGGTCCTTCCACTATACCTAATGTTTCTGGGGCTCGTTGGTTTGTATCCTTAATTGATGATTGCACCCGGGTTACATGGCTCTTCCTTCTTAAAC